TTGTAAAAATGGTAAATCAGTACATTTTTGTATGAAAAAATAATGGTTGGAAGTGGATCATCACGTGGCATTTTAGAGAGCTAATGTAAATAAACCACCTTCCTTTGGGCTTCCTATTAGCACCAAAATTACTTTTGGAAAAAAATCGAGTGCCTTCATGGATGATAGTCTTCAAGTATAATAGCTACGGTATTTAAGTTCTGAAAAGTTTCAATGCTTTGATTTTATGAATTGCAATATATTTCCTTTCAAATGTCCCTACCCTCTTAATGACACTAAAAACTCTGGCTAACTTTTGTTGGGATTCAGTCAATGGAAGAATAAATATACACAAAAATGATGTTTATGCCATTTATGAGGAAATCATTAATTCACAGTCACAGGACAGTAATAAGGCAAACTGGGAGGATCTGGGGCCCTCTGACTTTGGCAGGGAGCTCACCATAACCCACAGCAGCCGAATCCCAGGGAGGGAACAGAAGATTATTCTTGAGCTCCACCAAATATTTCTGTAGTAAGTAATTTTTTTTGTGCTCAAAAAGATACTTCTCTCTCTCTCTTTTTTATCTAGTCTTTTTCTGACTTATTTTCTTGCATTGCTCACCAAGGGTCTCTGATGTGATACTGCGGAAGTCATATCTAGGCCATCAGATCCTGGTGTATTTTTTTTTTTTAATATTGTTTGTATTTCAGATGATAACTTTGCAGGTGCTCAATCTTTCATCACGGGAATAAATCATCATCAAGAGTAGTTGACACTCTGCTCTTAGATTTTATTCAGGCTCTTTTCATTAATGATAGGCAGATGTAAAAGTTGAATTAAATATGTGATTATTTTTGCTAGGTTAAAGCAAATCCCCTCAGGACGTCTGGTCTGAGAGCTCCGTACGTCACTCCGCGAAAGTGGACTTCCTTCTGAGTGTGGCTTAGGGAACTCTCTGTCCTGTAATTTATGACCTATTTTACTGTTGGAACTATGCTCTCATGAGATCGAGCATTCATCATAAATCACATGAAAAAATAAATTGAGAAACTTCTCTACTGTACCATAGAAATCCTTTATTTTTTAGTGCTTGTTCATGTTATATTTCTTCAATGTAAAGGATAATATTTAAAGAAAAAGCTGAAGACCACTATCCTTATACCTCTAGCCCCGAGCTTTTTACTTTTGACTCTGGGCATTTTATGATCTGCTATCCTCAGAATCATAGCTTTTATATCCCGGACTCAGACTTGTGCATCTCCTGTCGATTCACCCAACTTGTTAACTTTACTACTCGTTCCAAGGTGTTTCAACTAGAGCTGATGCCAAGAAATAGTAATAGTCATTCATCTATTTCCAACACTTCCCTGATATTTCTGACCAGGTTCACCATCGGTTCCCTTGATCTTTCTGGGACGAGGCTAGACCACTGACCCATGACTTGAACAAGAGGGACGGGCCCACCAGTGCGTGTTGTGACTTGGAGATTCAGGAAAGCTCACATGTCACTCTAAGCTGTGCTCACATGTTCTCTCTGGATGCACCTACATGAGAAGTGCCTGCACATATACAGTTACGGGAGTCCCGCTCTCTGGCATGTTGGTTGTAGCTCATATGACTTGGATTTGCAAGGCACATCCCCAAGAAACTGGCTGTTTATTCCCAGTGCTAGACCTCCAATTAAATGGTGAAGAGGGTGGCGGTGGTGGTTAGACCAGTAGAGGATAAGATGTTCCCACCACGGTAATGAGGTTTCATTCCAGGAGCCAACAGATGTGGTATGAGAAAATTTCTCAGGTGTGTCTGTGCTCATGAGACACTGTGGAAATGGGCTAAGGATGTCTACTGTGGGCAAGGGGTTGAGGAGTGGCACCATACCTGCCTCTTGTTTGCCATTTCCTTGTTAGGTCCTTCTCTTGGGTCAAAACTGTGCCACCTCCAATCTAGAGCTGTAACTTTATGTAACAGCAATAGTCTATCACCCACACACCCTCCTTTGAAATTCAAGTGAGAGTGAGAGCTACTTTGTATTAAATGATGATTTCTAACTAATTCATCACCTTTGGGCAATTTACAACTTGGCTTTGTTGACAAATAGTTTTTAGTAGATTATACGAAAAGAGGGTCATCTCCTCATTTCCCGTCCTGGGGTTAATTTTGGAAGTAAGTTTGAACAGATAGAACTAAGGCTTAAAAAGCTGATGAAAGATAGAGAATCTTGCCTTATTTTGGGAACTGTATAGAAGGTAGAGAATCCAATGGACTCTCGTAAATAGTAAAAGAAATAAACCAGCTGAGAGATGGGGGCAGGGGAGGGGCTGAAGTCCTCAATGATATATGTGGTAGGGACTGCCCCACAGCCTGTGATAAAGCTGAGGAAGAAGAGGATGGCTGGGAACCTTGGCTCTCCCGGCTAGAGAGCGGCCTCCATGATTTAGATTTACAGCGAGAATCAGAGGGAGTGAGACAGAGGTCTCTGAGTCTGGGCAGTGTGTTCAGACCTGGCTAGGTTCTTCCTCGTGTTTTGACCCGGAGGAGGTCCTTTTGCTGGACACTCTCATAGATCCCCTCACTACTCCCTCATGGCACTTACTGATGATCTCAGGGACATATTTGTGCGAGTCTTTGATGAACGTCCATCTCCCTCCTTGAACTGTAAACTCCCCGAAGGAAGGGCTCATGGTATCTGTCTTGCGCACCAGCCTAGCTTCCTGGTATGGTGCTTGACAAATAGTAGGTGGTCAATAAGTATTTTGATTAAACAGATTTTTTAATATTGATTGAACAAGCAAATGGATTTTCCGAACACCGCTTTCGAGTGCCACCAAGAATGGGGTCTTTCAAAGGTTGGATCAGAAGCCAAAGAGAGGCAATGGCTGAGGTCTCTGGAAGGACACTTCTATTTTCTTGCAGATGAATGAGGTCTCGGTGCTTTCTTCCTCCCCTTCCCTTTGTATTTTACTTCCTTGCTAAGTGCTTTACATTATGCAGTTTCTCAAGAATTCACAGAGCCATAAACTCGTTCACACACTCACTGTTAGTCTCCATCCTTCCCTTCTACGCACTTCCCTTTGTTAGTGCACCCTCCAACTCTAAATCTGGGTCTTAGCCCATCTCTTGCTTCTTAACTTACACAGTTAATGGGACTACTTGTTTCAATCAGAGACAATCTACACTTTAAAGCATTACAACAAAGAAATAGAGGAATTAATGTTTCTCCATTGCTTTACCTGATTTCATCTCTGCATTTGATACTCTTGTTCACTTCCTACTTCTTGAAAACCCTTGGGTGCCAGGTCATCACACTCCATGATCCTCTCCTACTTAACCAACCATTTCTTCTCTCTCTCCCTTCCTCTTCCATTCCTTAAAAGTTGGTGTTTCCCAAGATGACTCCTTCATCTTTCTTCCTTCCTTTGCTCGTCATACTTTCTCTGAATATCTCGTTTGTTTTCAGCTACAGTGTATGTACTCCTGACTCTCAGATCTAGCTCTCTTCTCCTGAACTCTCCTGCAATTCCAGACCCTTGGTTTCAACTATCTAGCACGTGCTCTCTGAATTCCTATTTGTGACTTGCTATTGTCTCCTAAACGGTTTGTATACCATAGATGTTTCAGCACTTCAGTTCAACTTCCATCCACTACGAGAGTTGTTTTCTTGAAAAATAAAGCTGAGCACATTATTCCCCTCTTTAAATATACCTCTTACAGATTCTGAGGGCTGAAGGGTAAATCAGCATCATTACCATCATCACGACGATGTAAGTGCTTGCTGTGCATCAGGCACTCTTTTAACCACTTCATATATACATTAGCTCATTTAATCCTCACAACCACTCTGTGGGGAGGTACTGGTGTATCCTCATTTCACAGATGAGGAAACTGGGGCACAAAGGTGATGGTCATTGTATTCAGGAACACACAGAGGCAAGGTCCCTCCTTCTTAGCTTGATCATGGAGCCTTTCCCATGCCTACCCTCAGCCTCCCTCTGTGCTCCAATCACATGACCCTTCCTCCTGTCTCTCAACATCCCATCCTCCTTCACGTTTCCCTGCATTTGTGCCTGCTGTTTCCACTGCCTGGAATTTTGCTAACCCATATTTACCTGGTTAACTCTCACTCATCCATCAAGACTCAGTCCCCAAACCATTTTCTCTGTGAGGACTCAGAGCTCTCTGGACAAAGCTGATCACCCCAACTCCGTGCTGATATTAAACTTTGTGCACATCCGTTCTCTTACTGGACCTTTTCTGCTTTATTGCACAATGGGGCTCTGCTGATATATCTGTGTTCTCTGCAAGACCATCGGCTCCTTAAAATGGGGAAGCATCAGTCTTTCATCCCTGTTTCTTAGCACTTAGCAGGGGCCTGCTGTACAGTGGATTATCAAAAAATGCTTGTTGGAGGAACCAATTAACCAGAAACTCTATGAGGTCAGGGACCGTGTCTTTTTCTTCAGTACTGTGTACCCAGCCTCTAGCATGACACACTGGAAATGCCTGACTGACATGTGAATGAAAAAATGAACTGGATTTTCATGGTGTTAATGAAATTCAACCAAGCAGAACTTCCTATTTTTCATTCTCTGATTTGTAGGCAGCAGTCTCAGTGGCATCAAGTTGGGATCTCTTGGTGTTTAATAATTTTTTTTTGTTTACTGTGAAGGCATTGGTGGGTTTACTTTCGTCTTGACTCCATCTTAAAAATTGTCTGGAAATTAAGTACCATAAGTGGAGATAAGTAAGAACACATCCCTATTGGATTTTAGGCCACTATCTCTGTTTATAATTTAATACATTCACATTTTTAAGCTAGAGAGCTATTTCGTTATCACCCATATTCACTAAGAATAAAAAATAAAACCTACTTGCCTTTTTATAGTATTAATATATTAGGATTCATGGCATTAAATATTTTGTAATTTAAAAATTACTTTGCATTGGCTGGAATCAAACGGAAGAAGGGCGGTGAGGAGAGGTCTCCATGGAGCTGTGCTGCCGGGACGTGAGCCTTTACCTGCTGGCCGGGCTTGATGGGTGAGAGCGTGATGCCCTGGGTGTTGATCACCGGCAAGATCTGGTTCCCGATGACCGTGGCGATGATCTGGCCCTGGGCGTTTGTCAGGAGCTGGGGGGTGATCGGCTGCACTTGAAGGCCCTGAGTGCCGCTCGCTGCTTGACTCGATGGCCCCGGATTCGGCATCAGAGGAATAGTCCCAATAATCTGCAAGAGACAGGCCCAGAGGTGAGGCGCCGGGCTCTGCTCAGGGTCTGCGCATGCAACTGAAGACCAAGCACACCCTGGTCTCTGTAGGAGGCTCCCCAAGAGCCGACTCAGGCTCCGTGAACAGCTCTGGAGATGTGGGTGTGGAAAAAAGTGGCAGAAGATGAGCGTCTAAAGGAGAGATGAGCACACATGGACTGAGTGCGTGGAGGGAAAGAGAAAACATCTTACTCAAAAATAAAAGCAAGCATCAGTGAGGGCAGAAACATGTTATTTCTGCCAGGGCAGTACAGACATCTGTTTTCTCCCCCAGCATTCAAGGCCCCAGTCTAGCTGGGGAGCTGCCTCCCTCCCTGACAGGAGCTCCTAAAACACAGTGTGCTCCTTACATCCTTGCCTCTGCTGGGTTCTCTGCTCTCCATCCCTCCTTCCCTCCACCGACATCCTGCTCCTCTCTCAAGGGCAGGAGCCATCTCCCTGACATCCCAGCAGGATTAGGGGCCCCGCATGCTGGTGCTCCGGGTGGTTGGGGCCCAGGCTCTGGGGTCAGGGAGACAGGATTCTGTTCCCAGCTGTGCCGCCTGCTAGTTCTGCAGCGTGAGTCAAGGAGCCTAAGCTTTCCGAAGGCTTGAGAGAACTGGCATCACAAACTGATGTTTGGAACTCTTAAAATAGAGGTGCAATGACTACTGAGGTGAAATTAAATTTTTAAAAAGTGCATTTTAAATGATGTGTTTTAAACTGGGGCCTAAACATTAGAGGTTCAAAGCTTCTGTGGCAGGTGGCAGGGAAAGCTTTTCTTTGCATCTAGTGGCCTCTGGCTTCAATGAAGGGGTTGGGTGAGCGTCACAGGAGGGGCCTGGCCGGATCTAATCACTTTGCCGAGGAGAAAAGGAGCACGGGCAGGCAGCAAATGTACAGGGCGCCTATGAGAACCAGAAACATAGACCATATTCATACGCTGTTAGGGACCAATTTAATCTCTAAGGAGCGAAAATGTGATCTCCGTCTCCCAATGTTACGGCGTCTCTTGGGGAGTCACGGAGCTGGCGGTGGGATGTTCTTCCCCTCCGCACACCACAGGATAGTTAAGCAGTTCTGTTCTGCTGGTCGTCTTCCGGGGCCACCTCCTGGATGTGAACTGTGGTGACGTGGCCTGGGGGCCACTAAGACATTAATAATTCTCTCTCAGGAACGGCTTTCATGTGTGTTTCGTTTCATTTCACGTACTTAGAATGGCTCCGCGAAGTGGGCATTGGTCTTGCCCCCACTTAGTAGATCAGACAGTGGAGGCTCATTTCATGGAGGACTTTTTAAGTGACAGAGCTGCAGTGACTTCAAGTCTGCCTGACCCCCAAAGGCTTGCTTTTCCATTGTCACCCAGCTCCCACCACATGGAGGACATTGGAGATGGCTTGCTTTTAGAAAAGGCACTGCCTCCTGTTGGCAACTGCCCACCAGAGGAAAGCTGCTTGTGGACTGAATTTATAAAAGATTCCGTGTTCTACCCCAACAGGACCCCAAACTGGGTTTTGAACATAGTTTCTCAATAAGTGTCTTTTGAATGGATGGTTTCTGGGCTCAGCTATCACTGGGATCCTGGTGCAACTGGGACTGCAGAACTGCAAGACCACACCATTCACTGACAACAATCATGGTGGAGGAATCGTGCCCTCCTCACTTGGCAGTCACTTCCACCACGAAGGCCCCTGTGCAGTGGCACTAATGGAGGAGCTGTGTGAATATCAAGTATCGATGGCTGTTGTCCATGGATGCTGATAAAGGTCAAGTCATTACTGTGAGAGTGGTCAGCAATCCCTTTGGGAGTTTGCAGCTCTGAAGTCTCACTGAGCAAGCCTGCAATCTCCATCCCGCAGCATCAGCAACGAGCACGTCCCATCAGTGCCAGCAAGATCAGGAGGAGTCCACATCGATAGATGAGAGCACATAAGCACTTTATTGATGAGTGGTCTTGCATTAAGCAGCTCAGGATTCAAAGGCTGTTCCTATGACCCGCACCCCCCCCCCCCCCCCCCCCCCCCCCGCCCCGAGGCAAGTGGAGAGGCCTGGGGAGCAGGCTCCTTGTCCTGAGCCCACGCTGGATACTTCCCCTGTCCACACTTGCACTGTGAAATGTGCACTTCCCCTTTGCGCAATGCACTATGAATTCTAGGTGGCTGACCCATCCACTCTGGCTTCCCTGTGTCTTAGGCCTGAGAAGCCCTGCTCCATCTGATTGGCCTGAGTTGAAAGCCTCTGAAAGTTGGATTCATTTAGGTGGCAGGGTTGGGGGTTCTATTTTAGGCAGGATGTCAGCATGTTGATGAGCCGGAGTGAATAAGTAGCCCGGGAGAAGGCTTCAGAGTGAGGCACAGCACCTGACAGCTACAGAACACACTGTGATGCAGAGAGAGGTATTCCGCTCCGAGAAGATTGACACGAGTCTGTGCTCGCCTCGCAATAATGAGATGCTCTGCCTGCTTTCCGGGTGGAAAGAAGAAGGGCAAACACACACGACTCACCAGCCTCTTCTCTGTGCGTAGCCTTGCCTCCAAACAATGCGCGCGACATTACTAAAACATGGCGCCACTTATGTCCCTCCTCACCTGCTCCTCTCTTCTTTCATGGGCCTTAGCATCACTTACTAAGGGTAGGATTAGTGTCAGCGCTAGTGTCAGAGCCAGAGGGGTCTGGAATGGCACGACCGAAGGAGCCCTTAACAAGAAGAGTTTGTCTGCGAGGTAGGGGTGGGGTCAGGGGCGGTTCTAAAGTCAAGAAGCCTTCTGTGAAGTTATCTCTTTCTCATTTTTGTTCCCCTTTTGGGGGAGTTGGGATCACCACCTCAGCAAGTCAAAAACTTGGCAGTGCATCATGGGGAATTTTCTAATAGTCCCCCATGTATTATGAAATACTGATTTTAATTTGCTCCCGTTCATCGAAGGGTAGAGAGGATCACACACTGCGTTGTCTAAAAATTCTCAGATGTGTCTGTTTTACTGAGGCTGGCTCCAATTCCCTTCAGCACTCCACAGATTTCACCAAAACTCCTCCTCAGATTCTGACTTCAGAGAACATGACAAGGAACGAGAAGAGCCGAGAGCGCCAAGGTGAAGGCTCTGGGCACCCATGAAAAGTTGGCAATTTTACCTGTGGAAATCGTACGTTAAAATGAGAGGTCTTTTGATATTCAAGGGAAGTACTTGCATCTACACACATTTCAACTAAATAAGGAAATTAAAACTGAGATTTGACAAGGTGTTAGGGGAACTCTGATTTGAGGGCAAAGGTAGAAAGAGGATGCTTTTGAGACAGGCGTAGTCCTAAGACTAGCTTTTGGAGCTTGTCTTTCTGGCTCCCAGAGCTAAAGATTTACCGCTAGGAGATGTCCTGATGAAAGGACATGTCACTGAGCAAACAAGGCAGCTAGGCTGTGACTCTTGCTCAAGGCGTTACTACACAAGACAAATTCTAGCTCTCCTAAGATGCTGAGGGCTCCGGCAGAGCAGCCCAGGATACCTGCAGACCCTTCTCTATGTAAGGCACCCCATCATATGCCATGGAGGATACAAAGAAGATGAAATTGGGGAAAAGAGGGGGCAATAAGACAGGCACATCACGTGCAAGGATTCTAACAATCCAACGGAGAAACGATATGTACCAAACGAGTGGCAAGGACTGTCCAATGAGAATCTCCATCCCTACGTGCTTGGTGCTCAAAAGAAGCCTGGGAAGGAATGAGTGATTTCAGAGGAAGAAACCGAGGATGGTTAGGAAGACTTCATAGAAGAAATGGGGGCAGAACAGCATCTTGGAGGTTGAATGGGATTTGGCAAGACAGAGAAACCATTCCAAACAAGAGACTAGCCCAGAGGTGAGAAACACGGGGTATGGTGTGTTGACTAATTTGGATGAAAAGAGGGTTGAGATAGTGGAGCAGCGACAGGTCAGCCTGGAAGGGTCAAACTCCATCCAGGCAAGGGGTTTTGATGAATGGTTTTTGAGGGGGAATTGGGGAGGAGTGCTGAAATGGAACTATCTCAGGTGTGAATGTGACAGTGTGGATAGAACGGACTGAGGTGGCGAGAGACTAAGAACCGGGGGATCAGTCGCTAGGATGCCATTGTAGCCATCCAAGTGTGAAGCAAAATGCCTCAGTGAATCCTTGACATACGGGTTGCTTGATTCGTTGACTTCCAGTTCACTTCAAAAAGTGCGGCCTACTCTATGCCTAGGTTGCAACATGAGAAATTTTTGAGTGAAGTTATTACCCCATCAATCCCACAGCAAATAGCTCAGTCATCGTTTGCAATGATCCTGTATGTCTTTGCCCTGACTCTAACAGTAATGGTTCATCTCTGATGAATGCTTTAAGCAGGCTGAGGCCCATACTGGTATTGTAATGATAATTTGTGACCTAAAAGCCTTCCACCCTCTCTGACGGGGATTTATTTGGTTGTTGCAGTTCATGTCCACTTGTCTTTTTCCTTAGAGGAGTTAAGAGCATAAACCACAACTGAGAATAAAGTTCACATTGCAAGAGCAACTAAAAAAGTTGTTAAAATGACTATTAGTATTCATTGGCACTTGTATCCCTGTTTTCATAAGAATTTGGGTAGCTTACACATAAACGTTACTATCATTAATTCAGCAGTAATTATAATTTAAGCCATCATAAAGATTATCTTGTGATTGTAGCAAATCCCAGCAATTCACGGCCATGAAACTCCTTTGGGTCATCAGCTTATCATCCCAATTCCCTTATGGACCTCAGTGTAGTTGAGGTATTCTGTAGAGATGAATTATGACCGGTGGAGGGTAACGTTCACTGAGTTTATTCACTGCCAGCATGTAGGTGTCATCAGCAGCAGTTGAGGGTGGTATCGCAGAAGCCCAGGGCATCCAGACAAGTCGTCTGATGGGCCACATGTTGTAATACTCTATGACATGCTGTTAAACTCTGCTACGGAGAATGCGATTGCAGATGTCAAATTGACAAGTAATTTTGTTGCACATATCTTTAAGAAAAGGAAACCGCCAACGCTGTAAATCGGTGACTTCCTCAGGTCTTTGAATCCATCAGCAGAGACAATTCTTTGCCAAATATTTGTGCAACCTCAGCACTTTTTGGTCAAGAGGCTTTTGTTAACAGTAGTATCACCATGTCCATTCCTGAACAAAGGGCTTATAGCATTCGAGAACCAAGGAGCCGGTGGTGAGCAATCGTTAGAATGGAAACAGCCAATCACCTTCCCTTTCCTTTCTCATCTGGCCACAGACACTTCTCTTTCTTCCGCCACAGGACGATTTTTGTCTCCTTTATGTAATGCATTTATTCTAGTCTCATGGTGCTCAGAGTTAAACTCAGAGTTATGTTGGCAGTTTTGATTAGCATGTCGATTCAGGAAGAGCGGAACACAGTTATTTCCCAAACAAAATGTATTTTTCCAAGATGCAATCTAGTACCTTTTTGCGTTTGGCTGTGTCCAAGCTGGGGAACAAGAGAAGTGTGAATACTGAGAAGCCCTCGAGGAGAGAATCTGAACGAGAGAATGGTAAAGGCATGAAGAGAAGCACACAAAGGGGTTCAATACAGGAAGACACTCAACTAAGGACAATTAGATTTAATCCTACAGGCAATGCCGATCAGTTGGTTGTGGCTCCCTGATACTCTGGAAGTTCCAGGGTTCAGGAGGAAATAGCGTCATGATTGATTAACAATGTCTGGTGAGGGTGTGGGCATAGAGAATGGCAGTCAGTGTGCCTGAAGGCAGCATTACTGAAGCCCACTACATGAGACCAATTATCTTAGACCAACCAATGGATGACATACATTTCTTTAATGAGCGATTGTGAAAAAGAATTTTTTAAGGTGAACATTTTAATGCTTTTATGTTATGGGTATTGATAGGTACTCTGCCCCTGGGAATATCTACCTGCTCAGTGTTTCCCACTGTCAGTTACAATTAGGATCCCTGCCGGGTGCTCTACTGTTTGGTTTCAACTTTAGAAACATACGACTCACAGACAGGAGGAAAGAATTGGAAGTGTCAAGATCTTTGAAATGTCACTTTCAGTCACATTATGAGAAGACTAATTTGTATGAAAACTGAGTTGTAGAAACAGCAATAACAACAATAAAAACAATCCTCTCTCCTAAAAGCTTCTTAAAAGCCATTAAAGGTAATTCTCCTTAAGAGTTCAAGGTGTATATAGAGGAAAAGATTCCCCATGGGCTGGGTTCAAGGCCAGGCTTTGCTCCTAACTTGTGGGAGATTATTGGTGAATTACTTTGTTTTTTAGAACCTCAGTCTCCTCATCTGTAAAATGGGAACAATAATGTCCACTTCATAAGGTTATTGTGAGAACTAAATAAGATAATGTATGCAGAGCATCAACACAGTGCTTTGCCAACCAAGTAAGTGTTCAATAAATGTTTATTATTAACTTTGCTTACATACTTTTGTGGTTACTCCTGGGCTTTTGCCCTAAGCTGTGGAAGCTCTTTTGAACTCTTTTAAGTGTTATAATTCCGCCATGAATGTAGTTTACCATGAGGAACAGAAAACACTAGTTTACCATGAAAAAACATTAAGTTGTCCTTGTAGTAGAATACTAAGTTGGAAGTATTCATGGAGGCACCAAAATTCAACAGGTGCTATGTTCCAAAGGAGGGGTTAGACCATTTTGCCGAATTTACAGAGGAGGTTTCCGGAAACCAGTTAGACCACTCCGGGACTCAGACCCTCACAGTAAGGGTAGACACAGAATGCTTTTTAATTCCGTGCCCCTTCCTTGCTCCCACGGACAGGGCGTGGGGGGCTTTCTCCTCACCTCAAGGTTAATGAAAGCGGTTGAATAAATATTGTCCCC